TCATGAGAAAACCCAATATACCAAGTGCAAACAACCCACTGTCCTGTTTGTTTACTAGAGTAGTCTCCCTTGCACATTTATAAACACTTCCCTTTCGCGTCATCGTGCTCAGCTACAGACAGTTGTGACCTTGACTATTTGCATATTTATGTAGCGGTGACGTCACCGATGCACTGCATGTTTGGGGGTCAATGTTTTCGCGACAAGTGCAGCTGTACTTGACTGGATGCGACTTGTGCCCGAACATTATTGGCTAACAACACCAGTTGGCGACATGAGATTTGTAGGAGGAGGTGGGGGATCCTGGGTCGGGGGGGGGGGGGGGGTAGAGACAGGTCTTGGCACGGGGATATCTTGGCGACGTCTTGATCCTGTTGCTCCAAAGGGTCATGGCGTGTACGGTGACGGGCATCACGTGATCAGCCGTCTATTGACGACACTGACTACCTATCTAATTAACCCCGCGGCCTCTGTGTTTGTCCGACCGTTGGCTTAAACCATCAGATCGATAAAGATCATCGATCTCAACCGTCGTGTCGGGATGTCTATTACAGCGCTGCTTCGGGTGGGTGAACGGGGGGGGGGGGGGGTTGGGGGTAGATTGGATCAGCTGGCGATGATGAATCAGAAGAAGAGAAATTCAAAATTTCATTTACTTTCGAATTCAGTTTTTTTTTTTTAATTGAATTTAAAAAAGCTTCAAATTTTTCAAAAATGTACTGAATTAAAATTTCATATAGGTATCATTTTTTATTTATTGTCTTGGTAATTATATTTATTTACCTGCATCACGTGATTCAATATCACGTGACATAGATTTTTTGGCGGGTAATTAGCTTGTATTTTAAACATCCCGTGTCGTCGGGGTCACACGCCTGCAGAGTTTGCGCGTGATTTATGTTCTGGAACCGGATCGGAAGCTCTGGCACCGTGACCAGACTAACCGCCCGGTCTGATGATCCGGAACAACACACACACGTACACACACGTACACACACAAATACACACACGTACACACATAGCTCCGTGTGGAACTGCCATGAAAACGATGGCACCGTGACCAGACACCTGCCCAGGTAAGCGGGTGTGATGAGGCGGAACAACACTCACACAAACACACACCCACACACACGCATACACAGCCGGTGTATTGAGGCGGAACAACCTCGTCCCAGCTCCATGGCAAAACGTAAACAATTTTTTTGTTAATAGCCCAAGGATTTGACACAAAATTGTTTTTAGGAATTATGTTAAGTCAATCAAACTTGGAAAAATCAATCGAGAGATCGATATGATGTGTCGCAATGGTGGCGAGAAAATACAGTGATGCGTTATTAGTCAAAGACACTACAACAGGTCACGTGGTAAGGGATTCTGTTCAGTCACGTGATCAACACTTTGTTACAGTAAAACTTATATCTGATGGTCTTAACATCACAGATACTTATATCTGCTGATCGTTTTAACATCACAGATACTTATATCTGCTGGTCTTAACATCACAGATACTTATATCTGCTGGTAGTCTTAACATCACAGATACTTATATCTGCTGGTCTTAACATCACATATACTTATATCTGCTGGTCTTAACATCACATATACTTATATCTGCTGGTCTTAACATCACAGATACTTATATCTGCTGGTCTTAACATCACATATACTTATATCTGCTGGTCTTAACATCACAGATACTTATATCTGATGGTCTTAACATCACATATACTTATATCTGCTGGTCTTAACATCACAGATACTTATATCTGATGGTCTTAACATCACAGATACTTATATCTGCTGGTAGTCTTAACATCACAGATACTTATATCTGCTGGTCTTAACATCACAGATACTTATATCTGATGGTCTTTACATCACGTGATCAACACTTTGTTACAGTAAAACTTATATCTGATGGTCTTAACATCACAGATACTTATATCTGCTGATCGTTTTAACATCACAGATACTTATATCTGCTGGTCTTAACATCACAGATACTTATATCTGCTGGTAGTCTTAACATCACAGATACTTATATCTGCTGGTCTTAACATCACATATACTTATATCTGCTGGTCTTAACATCACAGATACTTATATCTGCTGGTAGTCTTAACATCACAGATACTTATATCTGCTGGTCTTAACATCACATATACTTATATCTGCTGGTCTTAACATCACATATACTTATATCTGCTGGTCTTAACATCACAGATACTTATATCTGATGGTCTTAACATCACAGATACTTATATCTGCTGGTAGTCTTAACATCACAGATACTTATATCTGATGGTCTTAACATCACAGATACTTATATCTGCTGGTCTTAACATCACATATACTTATATCTGCTTGTCGTCTTAACATCACAGACACTTATATCTGCTGGTCTTAACATCACAGATACTTATATCTGCTGGTCTTAACATCACAGATACTTATATCTGATGGTCTTAACATCACAGATACTTATATCTGATGGTCTTAACATTACAGATACTTATATCTGCTGGTAGTCTTAACATCACAGATACTTATATCTGCTGGTCTTAACATCACAGATACTTATGTCTAAACATATCTACAAACATCACATAGCCACATATTCACATACTGTCTCCAGATCACACAGTTGCTGTGTCTACATTACTACATAACTCATCACAACCCCACAGCCTCGTGAACATGTCTGATACAAATTGTGTTTACGTGTGTTTAGAAGCCCCCAGTCTAGCGTACAAATTGTGGGCTAACGAATGCAGCGACCCCTGGTTTAACCTATAGATCTAGTCTAGAGATTTGCTGTCAACAAGTTCGAGTCATCTTGTAACTGACCTCGGTCTAGAGATTTGGTGTCAACAAGTCAGTCTAGAGATTTGGTGTCAACAAGTCAGTCTAGAGATTTAGTGTCAACAAGTCAGTCTAGAGATTTGGTGTCAACAAGTCTGTCTAGAGATTTGTTGTCAAGAAGTTCCACTCATCAATTTTGTCTCTATTTTGTTCAATATGTGGTCCATTTTGTATATGTCCATGTATGCCTGCAGGAGGCATTTAAAATGTATCGATGCTGTCGAAAACAGATGCAAATATTGTTTCCGCTTTCTACTAAATTCCAACTGAAATAGTTCAAATCGTAGTGTGTGTATATATATATATATATATATATATATATATATATATATATATATATATATATATATATATATATATATATATATATATATATATATAATAGAAGTCTTGGAGAGAGTCTAAAGTAAAGATTTAACGAGTAATTATTTACATTAATTTGTGATTTGTATCTTGTATTCGTTTATATTGTCTTATATTATCTGGACCAGTCTGTGAGTCGACTTTAATTTAGCTAGTGCCGTAACTCATTATGTACGTGTAAACAAGTGCTTATTGTTTTATATAAATTATATCTGGAGACTTATTTGTATTTAATATAACCTTATTGTACAGGGTAAAAATTAACCTCGTCATAAGGGACATAACTGATGAGAACTTTGAATGAGTTAACCCTATTTAGTTGTCATGTCATGTTTGCCTGTCGTCCCTACTGGGACATAGGCCGCTGACAAGAGCTTTCCAGACGTCTCTGTCCTGGGCTAGTCTCTCCAACTGTCCCCAGGTGTATCCAATCTTCTTGGTGTCTTCTTCCAGGTCACGTCTCCAGGTCTTTCTTGGTCTGCCTCTCCTCCTCCTGCCTTGTGGATTCCAGGTGAGGGCCTGTCTTGTTATGCTGGATACAGGCTTCATGAGTGTGTGGCCAATCCATTTCCATTTTCTCAGGAGGATCTCTACTTCAACTGGCAGTTAGATAACTACACCTACTACTTACAGATAACTTTATCTACTTGTTAATTTTTTTTTCATTTGCAAATATCTTGTCCTCCAAATGTCTCTTAAAATATCTTGCCGTCAAATAATCTTGTTAACAAAAATGAACGGTGTTAAACGTCGTTCGTTTTATTATTATTATTTTTTTTTCTTTGGCAATCGAAATTTTATTCATTGGTCAACAATATCTGATTCAGCAATGTCCCTCACTTGCTATCAATAATTCCTCCTTAAATGTCCCGTCCTGCTGCTTTAAAACAAAAGTGTTCTTTAAATAGCGCCCAGCTCAATTGTATTCGATTACGCAACAACCATTATGGTTGACCTTTCCTGGTTCATGTCTTATTATTGGAATCGATTACTCGGCGTGGTTTCTTGCATTACCTGTAGGCAGGTAAGATGTGCGAGAGATTGGTAGATCTGTTTCAAAAGATCCTTGCTTCTCTAGGGAGGTGACCTTGTAATGTCAAGGTCATGGTTTAATATCAAGGTCATCGTATCCCATCAAGCTCAATTTAGGCTTGTGTGGTTATGATTTAATCATAGCTTCGTGTTTCATTGTCAAGGTCATTGTTTTAAAGTAGACGCATTGTGTAATGACAAGGTCATAGTTTAATTACAAGATCATACTTTAATTAAAAGGTCAGGGTTCAATCACAAGGTCAGGGTTTAATGTCTAGGTCATTGTTGAAAACAAGATGAAGGTTTGATTACAAGGTGATTGTTGAATGAGAAAATCCATTATAAACGTATTGATGAGTCGAGATTTAAAGTCAAATACATGTTTGGATAATAGGCCAAAGGTCAGGGTTATTTAGAAGGTCAAGATTCAGAGTCAAGGTTAAGGGCAATACACATTCAACCAAAACAGATTTCATTGATTATTAACAAGGACATCGTTATCGGATACATCATGTTTATTTGTAGAAGTATCACTTTATACTAATTAGTGTAATTAATTACAATATGATAAAATCATATACATCATCTTTATTTATAGAAGCATCACGTTATATTAATTAGTAAGATTAATATTACAATATGATAAAAGCATAGAAGTGATGTTTAATTTTGTGAGTAGTTTAAACTTTTTTGTTTTCTATTTTTAGGTTATCTGTGCACGAGAGAATTGCAGCCGTGTATTGATTTCTGGAACAGCCGGTCCTAAAAGATGACCCGGGATCTTTAGCACCAGTTGGAGTATTGCCTCTACAACCGGCTGCCGGCTAGATCAGGGTGCACGTTTCATCATGAGGCCGGCCTGGGGCAGGATCTCTCGACAAAACACGAGTGAGTCAAATTTAAACAATTCTGGCACACACCCGGTGCTTTGGTGTTGAGGGGTAACCATGCTTCGATCTGTTTGTGTGTAGTTAGGTTTGTTCATCTCTGTTGTAACTTCAATACTTCCTGTCAATGGCAATCGTTATCTTTATATATATATATATATATATATATATATATACATATATATATATATATATATATATATATATATATATATATATATATATATATATATATATATATATATATATTTATATATATATATATAGGGGAGAGTGGTGAGGTGGGACTAGGTAGAAGTAGGGATGCGCATTATTTCGGTACTTTTGGACCAAAATTTCAATGAACTCGCATAAAACTGCAAGGGAAACTTTATCAACTACAACAAAGATTGTTTTAAAATTATGTCACAATCTATTGAAACTGGCTTTAATGAGAAGTGCGACACGATGTTCCACTTCTCCTCACAGCCGTTCAGTATCTCACATTAAGTAGGCACTTCTTTTTAATGGAATAGTTTAATCTTTACGGGCAAGTACCTAGTCTTTATTCTATATACTTAAAACATGTATCCTTTTACTAAATGACATGGCTGCCCTTTTTCTCATTTTGCTGTCCCACAATTCATCAATATTGTGTTTCATGTAAGTCTACATTTTCTATCCAGAGTGTTAATGACTATGTCAAAAATTGAACAATAGCATATTTTGTTGATTTGATAAGTTTGGGATTATTCTAGACTGATAAAAAAGAAAATTCATATTTTTGTTGTCTCCCGCCTCACCACTCTACCCTATACATACATACATACATACATATATATATATATATATATATATATATATATATATATATATATATATATATATATATATATATAGAGAGAGAGAGAGAGAGAGAGAGAGATAAACAAATACATAAACATATATATATATATACATATATACATATATATATATATATACATATATATATATATATATATATATATATATATATATATATATATATATATATATATATATATATATATATATATATATATATATATATATAAAATGTCCGCACATTTCCAAACAAACAATATTCTGTGTGCGTCTAACTACGAATTTTGATGAGACGGGCACGGGATCAAGTGAATCCCTGAAATCTCCCAAGATGTCTGAAAACGTGGCCTGTGGATGTGAATTTTTTCCTGGCAGAAGCCATAAATCTGGCTTCATCCCCGGGAGATGGCCGCAGTTGGCTGGCTGATTGCATCACGAACTTGGCCTTAAATATTTGTTTACTGGGGAGAAACACGTTAAATTGTTTCGCTGATTTCAAATTGTAATTTTTAAACATTTTCTTTGACTTCATATGTCTTGCACGACATAAAAATGCTAGTTATGGAATACATAGGACAAAGGACAAATGATCTCAGGACAAATTATCTATATATATATATATAATTCTCTTCTGGGAGACGCTAGAAAACAAGCTGTAAATGCGCTCCCTACCATCCCCACCCCTACATGGTCTTAGTGAGCTGTGGTTCACGCTATGTTTACCTTCGTGGAGTCGGGTTTAGTGACGGCTATTAGGGGCAGATAATTTAGTTTGAAACGATTTTAAACGTTGGGGGGGGGGGGGGGAAGGGGGGGGGGGAGCAAGGGGGGGGGTTATGGTCCTTAACGAGCGACTTATAGTGTTTTAAAGAAATATTTTCAGTGTCAGCGTTGGTACTATCGAATTCACAAATTATGAATTACTGAAAAGTAGAAAAAACAACAACTAAATAGCGGCGTATGTTATGCCGCGGGCCGGCTCGTTTAAGATAAAATATCTCAGATAAAACATCTCATGGACAGTTATATCAGGACAAATACTATCACGGGCACATGTTCTCAAGACAATATAACTCAAGTCATATGATCTTACGGACAAATTATCTCACAGACAGATTATCTAAAGACAAAATATCTCAGGACAAATGTTTTTACGGACAAATAATATAAGGACAAATAATGTCTCAAACAAAACATCTCACGGCAAAATATTTATCGTTATTTAGGATGATTTTGAACATGTTTTATTGTTTCCAAAATTGTCACGTATTTTACAGTGTCGTGAATATAATTAATCTTCGCATTGTTCACCACTGTATATTTAACAACACAATCCACCACTATATATTAAACACACCATTTACCACGAGGTATTTTGCAGCACTTAATGACGTCCTTCATTATTTTATCGCTAGAATTTAAATACTTCTAGGTCGTCCGCCCTCGCCCCTGCTCTGTAACCTTCCTTATCGTAGCTAGAGTTCTGTAGTACCCTCTACTGTGGTAAGAGATACTTGTACTGTGGCCTTCTAATGAGACTCTCGCAACACAGGCTGCAAGAGTCGAAATGTAGTTACTGTAGTCAAAATGTAGTAACAAGAATCACGGGGCAGATGAAGAAGAGTCCACCTGTTTTTGGCAAACAATTTTATGTTCGGTGAAAGGCAAATAATTGGATGTTCGGTAATGGGCAAATAATTTGATGTTCGGTAAAGTGCAAATAATTTGATGTTCGGTAAAGGGCAAATAATTTGATGTTTGATAAAGGACAAATAATTTGATGTTAAGTAAATAGTGAAATTTAAAATGGCTTTTATTTTTAAAATCAACAAAACCTGCCATCTAAAGTTGTTCTAAAAATCTCCGAACTTATGTTTTGCCGTATTATACCAGGAACCTTTGAAATAGTTATATTGATTACACTGCTAGCATCATTGATCAGGACTAAGCGAGGATCGAACCAGCAATTAGACGCTGAAATCTTTCGCTTGTTCACCAAGGGTGCCTTATTTCTGACATAGCAATCAAAACATTAGATGGCGCTTTGATAGGGACCCCCGAGTACAACCCGACCTCGTCACCCCCACCATCCCACTACAGCAATACCCCCCCCCCCCCCTCACCATCCCAGTACACACCGACCTTTTCACCCCCACCATCCCACTACAGCAATACCCCCCCCCACACACACACCATCACAGTACAGCAATACCCCCACACCATCCCAGTACAGCATTACCCCCCCCCACCATCCCAGTACAGCATTACCCCCCCCCCCCTCCCGAACCATCCCAGTACACACCGACATCTTCACCCCCACCATCACAATACTTGTGGCCAATGACATGTTCGTGTGGTCAATGATATATTCGTTCGGTCAATGACATGTTCGTGTGGCCAATGACATGTTCGTGTGGCCAATGACATGTTCATGTGGCCAATGACATGTTCGTGTGGCCAATGACATGTTCGTGTGGCCAATGACATGTTCGTGTGGTCAATGACATCTCCGTGTGGTCAATGATATATTCGTTCGGTCAATGACATGTTCGTGTGGTCAATGACATGTTCGTGTGGCCAATGACATGTTCGTGTGGTCAATGACATCTCCGTGTGGTCAATGATATATTCGTTCGGTCAATGACATGTTCGTGTGGCCAATGACATGTTCGTGTGGTCAATGACATCTCCGTGTGGTCAATGATATATTCGTTCGGTCAATGACATGTTCGTGTGGCCAATGACATCTCCATGTGGTCAATGACATGTCCGTGTGGTCAATGATATATTCGTTCGGTCAATGACATGTTCGTGTGGCCAATGACATCTCCATGTGGTCAATGACATGTTCGTGTGGCCAATGACATGTTCGTGTGGTCAATGACATCTCCATGTGGTCAATGATATGTTCGTGTGGTCAATTATATGTTCGTGTGGTCAATGACTTGTTCGTTTGGCCAATGACATGTCTGTGTGGCCAATGACATATTCGTGTGCTCAGTTACATCCGGTCTTTGTGTTATTAGATTGATTCTATTGTGTTGAATTTGTTGGGTTGATTATATTAGTTGATTCTGTTGAGTTGATTCTTTACTTTTGTAAGTGCTATTTTTTTTTTAAATTTATTCAGTTCATTATGTTGGAATTACATCCGCTTATTTTTTTGTGTAGTCAATCTATTTCTGATAAAGTGAAGAAAAACACCGTCTACAAAAAAATATCTAATTAGGCTGTGCAATCACTAATTATTTAATTGAGATCACTACCACTAAACCCAAGCAAGCATTCTTCGTAACCATCTGTAATGACCTTCACCTTGAGTGACTTCCTCCCATAAAAACTCGAATCTGATCTTTGTCTAAACACGTCATCATGACGTCTGGTGACGTTCACAGTTGGACGTTCATCAAGTCACGTGGGAGACGTGCTGATAGCTGGAGGTGGGGAGGGAGGGTGGAGTAGGGTTGTTTGTGTGTGTTGGAATGGGGGGGGGGGGAGTAGAGCTTAATTCACGGTAATGTTCATTAGTCTATGTTTGTGTCTGTCTGTCTGTCTGTCTGTCTGTCTGTCTGTCTGTCTGTCTGTCTGTCTGTCTGTCTGTCTGTCTGTCTGTCTGTCTGTCTGTCTGTCTGTCTGTCTGTCTGTCTGTCTGTCTGTCTGTCTGTCTGTCTGTCTGCCTGCCTGCCTGCCTGCCTGCCTGCCTGCCTGCCTGCCTGCCTGTCTGTCTGTCTGTCTGTCTGTCTGTCTGTCTGTCTGTCTGTCTGTCTGTATGTCTGTATGTCTGTATGTCTGTCTGTATGTCTGTATGTCTGTGTGTCTGTATGTCTGTATGTCTGTCTTTAGGGTCGACAGTTTTATCCAAAAAGTTTCAGATTTCTTGATGTAAAGAGTGGTGTGGGCGCATGTAATGGATCTCTGAATGTGGTGAGACAGACGGGGGTCTCTAGACTTGAGTTAGAGAGGTTTTTAAAGGTGAGATAGACTGTGGTATCTAAAGGCAAGGTAGTGATATCTACAAGTTGGCGTGGGTTGTGTTCAATTGGAGACAGTGGTCCAGAAAAATCTTTCTTCCTGCTTGCTACTGCTTGTCAAAGTTTTTATTTTTATTTAATTACTGTCCAAACTGTCTATATTTTAATACAGAATTTGGTTGAAGGTGGGTTGAGGTGGATGGGG